TTTTATCATCATTGTTTTATAAATGTTCAATTTCTTGAAGAATTATATGCCCCTTTACACTTTTTAAAAAGCTTTTTTTCTGGTTATTCTTGGATTCCTTTTTCATTTAACCTTTTAAATCAACTTGCTTAACTCCAAAAGAAAAGTTTCCATTTTTAATAGAAAACTGTTAACTATCTATCTGTATTAATTTAGTGTGAATTATCATCCTAATGATGTTGAGTAGTCTTATCTAAGAACATGGGATGTCTTTTCATTAATTTAGCCTAGTTTTTTATATTTAGTAGTTGCTTAAAACACCTTTAAGCACTTTCCTGAAGTTTTCCTCACATAGATTCTGCATGTTTCTTGTTAGATTTATCTGTTGTGCTTTTTCACACACACACACACACACACACACACACACAGACAGACACACACACACACACAGAGCTACTTTAGCATGAATATACATCCTGTGGTTCTATATTAAGATTCTGTATTTGGGGCTTAGGCTTATGTGTGGTTTTTTTCATTTTATCAAGAGGTTTGTTTTTTTTTCCTTGTGAGGTAGTTTTGATGAGTAATTTGGGAGAGAATGATTCTTTGCATCTGTGGGAATTATTATTAATTTTTATTCATATGTCTTTTTGCATTATTGTTGCAAAAAGGCATGCCACATAAAATTTATCTTCTCAACAGTTTCCAGGTGTACAATACAATATTGTCAACCACATGCACATGGTTATGCAGCAGACCCTCGTCTTGTCTCTTACACTCCCTAAACAACAAGGTCTTACCTCCCACTCCCCCAGCCCCTGACCATTACCATTTTACTTTCTGTTTCTATATTCTACTTATATACCTAGTAAATGAAATCATGTAGTATTTGTCTTTTTGTGACTGCCTTGTTTCACTTAGCATAATGTCCTTAAGATTCATCCATATTGTAGTATATAACAAGATTTTCTTATTTTTCATTGCTGAATAGCATTCATTTGTATGTGGATACTATATTTTCTTTATCCATTCTTTCAATGATGGTGATTTAGGTTGTTTCTGCCTCTTGGCTATTATGAATAATGCTACATTGAACATAAGTATGCACATATCTCTTCTAGATCCTACTTTCATTTATTTTAGATATATACTCAGAAGTTACATTGCTGGAGTATATGGTAGTTCTAGTTTTATTTTTTTTAGAAATCTTCATATCATTTCCTGTACTTGCTGCCATTTTACACTCCTACCAGCAGAGCAAAAAGATTCCAATTTTTCTACATCCTTGCCAATATTTATTATTTTCTTTTTTTACTGGTGGTGGTCACCCTAAGAGGTGTGAGGTCATATTTCATTTTGATATAGATCATTTTTTTTTGAGACAGAGTTTCTCTCTTGTTACCCAGGCTGGAGTGCAATGGCACGATCTTGGCTCACCGTGACCTCTGCCTCCTGGGTTCAGGCATGATATAGATTTTTTAAATGGCGAATTTTACTAATTGATATTCTAATTTGGACCATCTTAGCATTCCTATAATAAATTTCATTAAGTCCTTATGTGTTATGATTCTTTGCTATTTTCATTCTGTTCTTTTAAAAAATTTAATACTTTTTAATTATAAGATTTTTGTATTGGTATTCATAAGTGAGATTTCCCTGTAGAAAGAGTGTGTATGTGTATGTGCTATCTTTATCAGATTTTAATGTTGATGTTATACTAGATACAAAAATTTTTAAATGTACATAAAGGCAAAAATTGAGGCCATTTAAAAGCCTTCTTGGAACTTGAGTCTTTTGCTTCTTCTCTATTCCAATTTCGCTGCTTTATTGCAGATCATAATCACTTCTTACTTATTCAGTTAATCTTCTAACTGACTTGATTTTATTGTCTCACTTTTGTTTAATTCATCCTTAGGTGACATCATGGATGATCTAAAATGTACCTCCATTAATATTTAGAAATATTTGCTCATTCTTTTCTCTCTGTCCCATATGTTTTTCATCTGTCTCTGAAAATTGTTTATTCATCATTCAAAACCTACTCTCTATACTTGTGTTTTCTCTATAAATTGTCACCAAATCTCTTTCCCTAGAGTTCATCACACTTAGCTGTCTACTACTTTTGTATCTTCTATGATGTTACATCTTATTTTGTGACTTAAAAAAATTTATATCTTTATTCACTAAAAGATTCTGAACACTTTAAGGGTTGTGACCATGTGTCCCTAATAACTATCACAGTGCCTTACATAAAGTAGTTACTTTTTAGTTTTCTTTTTAAAAATGTTTTCCATAAGTTACTGGGGTACAGGTGGTATTGGGTTACATGAGAAAGTTCTTTAGTGGTGATTTGTGAGATTTTGATGTGCCCATCACCTGAGCAGTATATACTGCACCATACTGGTAGTCTTTTATCCCTCTCTTCCCTCCCATTCTTCCCCTCAAGTTCCCAAAGTTCATTGTATCATTCTTAAGCCTTTCTCTCCTCATAGCTTAGCTCCCACATATCAGTGAGAACATACAATGTTTGGTTTTCCATTCCTGAATTATTTCACTTAGAATAATAGTCTCTAGTCTCATCTGGGTCACTGCAAATGCTGTTAATTAATTCCTTTTTATGGCTGCATAGTATTCTATCATATATAGAGAGCACAGTTTCTTTATCTATTTGTAGTTTGATGGGCATTTGGGTTGGTTCTGTGATTTTACAATTGTGAATTGTGCTGCGATAAACATGTGTGTGTAAGTATGTTTTTCTTATTCCTCTGGGTAGATATCCAGTAGTGGGATTACTGGATCAAATGGTAGTTCTATGTTTAGTTCTTAAAGGAATTTTCATGCTGTTTTCCATAGTGGTTGTACTAGTTTACATTCCCACCAGCAATGTAGAAGTGTTCCCTGTTCACTGCATTCACGCCAACATCTGCTTTTTGGTTTTTTAATTATGCCATTCTTGCAGGAGTAAGGTTAGGTATTGTACTGTGGTTTTGATTTGCATTTCCCCAATCATTAGTGATGCTGAGCATTTTAAAAATATGTTTGTTGGCCATTTGTGTATCTTCTTTTGAGAATCATCTGTTCATGCCATTAGCCCACCTTTCAATGGGATTGTTAGTTTTTTTCTTACAGATTTGTTTATGTGCCTTGTAGATTCTGGATATAGGTACTTTGTCCAATGTGAAGATTTTCTCCCACTCTGTGGGTTGTCTGTTTACCCTGCTGACCGTTCCTTTTGTTGTGCAAAAGCTCTTTAGTTTAATTAGGTCCTGGCTATATATTTGTTTTTATTTTATTTGCGTTTGGGTTCTTGGTCATGAAATCCTTGCTTAAACCAATGTCTTAAAGGGTTATTCATGTTATCTTCTAGAATTTTTATAATTTCGGGTCTTATTCAAAACATCCAGTTTGATACATTTTCAGTATCTGCTTAATATTATTAGATCAGGTCTTAGGTTTAAGTTTTTAATTCATCTTAAGTTGATTTTTGTATAAGGCGAGAGATGAGGATCCAGTTTCATTCTCCTACATGTGGCTAGCCAATTATCTCCTACATGTGGCTAGCCAACTATTTGTTGAAAAGGGTTTCTTTTATCCTCTTTGTTTCTGTTTGCTTTGTTGAAGATCAGTTGTCTGTAAGTATTTGGGTTTATTTTTGGGTTCTCTATTCTCTTCCATTGGTCTGTGTGCCTATTTTTATACAATGCTATGCACATCCCATGCTCATGGATGGGTAGAATCAATATTGTGAAAATGACCATACTGCCAAAAGCAATGTACAAATTCCATGCAATCCCCATCAAAATTCCACCATTATTCTTCACAGAATTAAAAAAAAGGTACATACTCCCTATGTAACCAAAAAAGAGCCCACACAGCCAAAGCAAGACTAAGCAAAAATAGCAAACCTGGAGGCATCACACTGCTTCATTTCACAGAATACTATAAGGCCATAGTCCCCAAAATAAGTGTTTAATTATACTTGCTTTCATTTGCATGCCCTTTTCTGCACTGTTAAAGGTGAGAACATTCATTCAACAGACAATTTTCTTCCTTTCTGATGACTATGGATTTGTGGTACCTATGGACTGAATGAACCTTATTGGGGTGAAATGCCCTTAAATTATGTTGTTAGTAGTAATATTCTACCCTTCACTTTTGTGTAGTCTGCTTTCTTTTGTCAGGGATAAACCTGCTTTGTGGGGTATAAATTTCATTCTAGAATGATGAAATAAGAGTATCAGAGTTCAGCTAAGTTCTCTCTGTCTCTCTGCTGACTGAAACTAGATTCTATTACAGAGACCATCAATCATGGCCTCAGGTACTCGTGGTTTATTGCCTATAGGAGGACATGTAATCTTGTATGTGTTATTGTTTCATGTTCTGCAGCATTTTGCTTCTCTTGATAGCCAACCCATTTTCATAAACAAGGGAACACGAGTGGTTGAAGCTATGGTTGCTCTTTGTAGTTTAGACTTAGTAGAGAGTCATGACCTATATCCCAATCCCATTTTAAAACTCTATTTGCAATTGTAAACTAACAATATTAAGCAGATACTCCAAATGTATCAAACTGGATGCTTTGAATATGTTTTATTCACAGGGTTTGATTGCACAGTAAACTTTCATTTACTAGATTGACAAATGTCTGATGTGTTAGGACTTAATAAACTTGGATAACTCTTCCTTCCCTCAGGTTAACACTTTAAATGATTTGTTCATAAAATATAATTCATATGTTGGAAAAATCAATCCAATTTCCTCTATTCTGTTTTCTTCACTTACATTATATGTGCTTATTTTATTTGTGGATGCAAATCTTTTAAGAGTAGAATAAACCCGTAAACTCTGTCAGAATTGTAAGGTGCCAAGAATCCACGATTTTAACTAATTTTGTCACATTTTAAAGTGTTGTGTGTTGTTAGCTAAATTTGTTTTATTAGCAGATAACTCTTGCCTGGGATATGTGTGTTGTAGAGTATTAATAAATACCATTATTCATGTATTAAACCTTTATTTTTCAGCTCTTGATTCTGCACAGAGTAATCGATCTACCAGTTACTCTCCAAGACCAACAGACAGCTGTTTCAGTTCTAGTTCAGATTTGGTAAGTTATGCTTGTTTTGCTTATTAATTTATGCTATATTAATAATTGTTTTTCTCATAGTCTAGCTTTACCTTATAAAAATGTTGAGTCAATAAATAGTGGAAATAAAAAATTAATATAAACAAAAATAGTAATAAAAGTAAACAAAAATATGTACAACTATTTAAAAACATAGGAAAGAAAAATGTAAAAATAAAATAAAAATGTAAATGAATACCATTCCTCACATTTATAAAAATAATGCTTTCATTGCTATTTACAAAACACTTTTTATCAATATAGATGTGTATATATATATATATATATATATATACACACACACATACACACACACATACACGCACACACACATGCACACACACACACACATATTATGTGTGTACAGTTTATCTTTGAACAATACAGGGGTTAGGGATGCTGCCCAGTCAAAAATCTGAGTAAAACATTTGACTCTGCAGAACTTAACTATTAATAGCCTACTGTTAGCCAGAATCCTTACCGATAACATATGTAATTGATTAGCACATATTTGTTTGTTGTATATATTATATACTGTATACAATAAAGTAAGCTAAAGAAAAGAAAATGTTACTAAGAAAATCTTAGAAAGAGAAGATATATTTACTATTTAAGTAGGAATAGATCACTGTAAAAATTGCAATCCTCATCATCTTCACATTGAGTAGGATGAGGAGGAGGAGGGAGAGGCAGCATTGGTCTTGCTGTCTCATTTGTATCAGAGAGGCAGAAGAGGGTGGAGGAGGTAGAATGTGGGGCAGGAGAGGCAGGCACACTTGGTGTAGCTTTATGGAAATACATCGTTATTTCTGTCTGACTTTTGATTTTTTGTTTCTCTAGGATGTTTTTACATGGTACCAATCCTTATTCTACTGTTTACTTTAGCTTCACAGCCTGTATCATAGAAAGGTCTCTGTCATGAAAGAAGCCAAAAGGGTCTTGAGTAATCAACACTTCTGCCAGATTGTCTGTCAGTTTGATTTCTGGCACTGCTTCTTTTATGTCTTCTTCCTTGTTGGTTGTTAAGTATTCATTTCTACAAGTTGTCTTCTGTTAATTCCTTTGGTATGTGTCTGTCAGCTCTTTAATTTTTCTAAGCTCCGTTGAAACCCTTTACCTTTCACCTTTTTTTTTTTTTTTTTGCTGTATCTACAGACTCTTTCATGGTTTTCTTGATGTCATGTTAGACATCTGGAACAGTTTTCTCCTACAGGTATTACTTTTCTGAGTCTTAATGACTTTCATGGCTTTTTCTGTAACAGTAATGGCATCTTCAATGGTATAATCCTTCCAGACTTTTATGATGTTCTCTCTCTTGGGTTCTCTTCCATTTCATTGAGCATCCTTTCCGTAGAGCACAATGTATAATGAACCTTGAAGGTCAGTGTGACCCCCTGATCTAGAGGCTGAAGATGTGCTTGGAAACACATAAACTAATTTAACGCCTTTGGTGTTGAACTCATGGGATTCTGGGTGACCAGCGCCACTGTCAATATCAAAATAACTTTAAAAGGCAGTCCCTTACGGGAAAAGCACTTACTGATTTCAGGTACAAAGCATTGATGGAACCAATTCCGAAAAAGCATTCTTATTTTCCATGCTTTCTTGTTGTGATATGAAGAAACTAGCAATTGGTGTTTATCTTTCCGTTCAAAGCTTGAGGGTTAGCAGCATTATAGATAAGGGCAATCTTGGTCATAAACCTGACTGTATTAGACAAAACAGTAGAGTTAGCCTATCTAATCATGCTTAAATTCTGGTGCTTGCTTCTCTTTCTTACTAATAAATATCCGGTGTGGCATTTTTTTTTTCCTGGAATAAGGCATTTTGTTCCCATTAAAAACTTGTTTAGGCAGATACCCTTTTTCCTCAGTGATTTTCTTTAATGGAATCTGGGAATGTCTCTGCTGCTTCTTGGTCTGCAGAAGCTGCTTCTCCTATTACCTTTACATTTTTTTAGCTAAACCTATTTCTAAAAGTATCAAACCATCCTTTGCTGGCATTAAATTCTCCAGCATTAGATCCTTCACCTTTCTTTTGCTTTAAGTTGTCATAAAATAGCTTCACAAATCTTGAATCATATTAGAGTCTAAAGGTCTGCCTTTCTCATAGCAATCCTCTACCCACATAAAAGCTACATTTTTAATACAATATTAAAAGGTATTTTACAAAAAGTACATTTTCCTTCACAAGTTTCCTTTTTTTTTTTTAAAGAACTATACTTAGATTTAACTTTTACTAGCGTATATATAAACTCATGCAAATGAGGCCTTAGGAAGGAGGGGGTTGACTGTCTTTCAGTAGCGTATTCTCGACATTATATTACGGTGTTATCTATTTAACTAGTTTCATTTCCTGAAATAAAAGAGCAAGTAATGCATCTCTAAAGGATCCTGCTTAGATTTACATTTTAAATGTGCATGCAGAAACATATTATGATACGTACTTATGAACAGAGGTAAGAAATATCACTTAAGTTGGCATGGTGGCTCATGCTTGTAATCCCAGCATTTTGGGAGACTGAGGTGGCCAATTGCTTGAGCCCAGGAGTTCGTGACCAGCCTGGGCAACATGGCAAAAACAAATACAAAAAATTAGCTAGACATGGTGGCGTATGCCTATAGTCACAGTTACTGGGGAGGCTGAGATGGGAGAATCACCTGAGCCTGGGAGGTTGAGGTTGCAGTGAGCCGTTATTGTGCCACTGCAGTCCAGCCTGAGCAATGGAGTGAGACCTTGTCTTAAAAAATAAAAAATTCACTCAATAACATGTTGTCAACACTAGATTTCAAGGTTATCTATTTGTTAAACAGTTCAGTTCTTTGAAAGAATATAACTCAAATTCTATCACTAAAGAAGCATGTTTAGATTTAACTTTTATTTATTTTTATTGATGTATTATATTTATACATATTTAATCAGGGTATATGATGTTTTGTTACATGACTTGAATGTGTAATGATCAAGCAGGAGAATTTAGGATATCCATCACCTCGAGTATTTATTTCTCTGTGTTGGGAACATTTCAAGACTTGTCTCCTAGCTATTTTGAAATATACATATTTTTTCAACTGTAGTTACCCTAATCTACTAATAACATTAGAACTTATTCCTTCTAACTGTATGTTTGTACCCATTAACCAACCTCTCTTTGTCCCTCCCACACCCTGACACCCACACCTTTCCCAATCTCTGGTATCTCTATCATTCTACTCTCAATCTCCATGAGATCAACTTTTTTAGTTCCCATATGTGAGTGAGAACATGTTATATTTGTCCTTCTGTGCATGATCCTTATGCTGGATTTATATAAAATGGCAGGAAACTGCGGCTGCCAATCCCAATTTATAGTACACACCAAGAAGTTCCAGCAGTTAATGAATGTAATGACTTTTTTCTGCTTCTTGGAAGTACTGCCAGCATCATTAGTGGCATTTTATGTGGCTCCCCTGATGTTATTCAAGGTGTATGTTACTGCATTAAACATAGTGAAAAACATGCAGGTATTACAAGAGATCACTTTTTACCAAGATTTCCAATTTGCTGGAGAGACCGCAACAGCAATAGGAGGTGTCTATGAAATTATTACAGTAGTACAGTATGTGCTACAGTTAGTTTTATGCAGTCATGATTGAATACTGCATATTTGTTTACACTTCTCTATGTTTGTTTACATTTGTCTTGGTTGTAAATGTGCCACTTATGGCCTGTGTTTGCATACATTTTGATAAATTTTAACTTTTCATAATAGACTCATGTATATTTTACACTAGTACATTATAAAATTAACTAGTATCTACATATATTTTATGCATTCATGATATACTTAACTTTTTCTTATGTTTTTTGAGATTTCTCAAATTGTCACAAATCTTCAGAAAGTTTTCTAATATATTTATTAAAGAAAAATGCACATATAAGTGGACCTGTGCAGTTCAAACCTGTGTTGTCCAAGGGTCAACTGAGTATGCACACATGGTATATAATATATAAAATGTATATAGATAAATTTTGTTTCTTTTAAGAGGCCTTTAAAAAGAACCCATTCACAGTAATTAGGAATGTAAAATAACCAAGAATAGATTTAAAAATAAAGTTCTTTAGGTTTAGATGTAGAAAATTGTAAAATGTTATTGAAAACTGAAACCAGAATAATTGGAGTGACAGTATATTCTGAGTGGGAGTTCTCCATTGTTGACACATCACATGTTTAAATGGAATTTTCCTTCATTCACTCTTTCATCGTCATTTCACCTACATTTTGTCTCTAATTAGTCATCTAAGCAGCTCTTGCTAAAGACACAGATGACTTCTTTGTTGCTAAATTCATTGGATACTTTTGAATTTATCTCATAAGAACTCCTAATATTGGTATAAATGATTATTTTTTAAAAAACATTTTAACTCGGGCCGGGCGCAGTGGCTCAAGCCTGTAATCCCAGCACTTTGGGAGGGCGAGGCGGGTGGATCATGAGGTTAAGAGATCGAGACTATCCTGGTCAACATGGTGAAACCCCATCTCTACTAAAAATACAAAAAATTAGCTGGGCATGGTGGCGCGTGCCTGTAATCCCAGCTACTCGGGAGGCTGAGGCAGGAGAACTGCCTGAACCCAGGAGGCAGAGGTTGCGGTGAACCGAGATCGCGCCATTGCACTCCAACCTGGGTAACACGAGCGAAACTCCGTCTCAAAAAAAAAATTTTAACTCTTTACTTTGTGATAACACATTGTCTTGTTTTTCTTCATACTTCTCTGAATGCTACTTTATGCCTCTGCCTACTTTTCCTCTACCCTTCCCCCTATATAAATGTTGTAATGTTTAGAGTTTCACACAGGATCATCTTCTTCTTCTGTTAATCTGCACTCTAAACCTTAGGTGATGTTACAGACTCCAGTGATTTTTTTAGTACTGTCTGCATGTTGACAGTTCTTAACCTCATCTTTATTTAGATGTCCAATTTTTCCTTGAACATAGTTTTGATATTTCACAAAAATCTCCATCTCTTCATTCCTCAAACTGAATACCCCTGGTCTTCTCCACAAATGAGTTTTTCTGACATTTCCCATTATCAGTAGATTCCTTTTCTGTCTACCCACATGTTCATGTCAGAAACTTAGTACTTCACTTTGTCCTTTCTGTCTGGTCTACCTCCTTCAACCAATTCATTCTGACACTTCATCTAATCAAGTCAATGATTAGATGAAGTGTCAGTTTTGTCTTGAACTATTGTGGTTGTTTCCTAAAAAATCTGTCTACTATCACTCTTGATCCACTTTCTCCTTGCTAGCAACTATCATGATCTTTTGCAAACGTAAATCGAATCATGTTATTTTCATATGCAACTTTTCAGTGGATTCCTATTTTACTTTAGCGTTAATATCCTTTACAGTGACTACCGGCCACGTGTGATATGACATTGGCTAACACTTTTAATTTCTAATAGTGTCCTCACTCTCTCATCCTGCCCTACATTACTGACATTTCACTTTCCTTAGCTTTTCAATGTCTTTTCTGCTTCAGATCTTGTATTTTTATTTTATTTATTTGTTTTTTTTAAGACAGAGTTTCACTCTTGTTACCCAGGCTGGAGTGCTAGGGTGCGATCTCTGCTCACCGCAACTTCTGCCTCCTGGGTTCAGGCAATTCTTCTGCCTCAACCTCCTGAGTAGCTTGGATTACAGTCACGCGCCACCATGCCCAGCTAATTTTTTGTATTTTTAGTAGAGACGGGGTTTCACCATGTTGACCAGGATGGTCTCGATCTCTTGACCTCATGATCCACCTGCCTTGGCCTCCCATAGTGCTGGGATTACAGGCGTGAGCCACCGTGCCCAGCCAGGTCTCATCTTAAATATGTCACTTATTAGAAAAGTCCCTCACTGGCTCCCCACTCTAATTAGGCCTGTAAGTTATATGTTCAAAGTGCCTAATATTTGTTCTTCATAACACTTTTCTCAAATTGTAATTATATTTGCAAGTATATGATTATTTGACTAATGTCATTTCTACCCATCAGAATATTTGCTCCAAGAGGGTCACATTATAGATGCTAAATGAATATTTGTTTGAATAAATGAATGCATTGAGTTTGTGTGCTCAGCCAGTTTTAATGCTGTTTCATATGCTTACTTCTGATGTTTCAATGTCAATCAGCTACAGCCTATACTCCATTTTATATTTAGTTTTTTATATTAACTTTGCATTTTTAGCTTGAATAATCAACATTTTTATAAGATTTTTATTAAAAGAGTAATTTTATTCAGTAATTAGGAGATAATTTTTTCACAAAGTTTGAAAAATTTATTCTTAGAAAATTAAAATCTAGATGTATTAAAAAGTTCTTAGTTTCACTTTTTATATAATAGTTGAGATATGTATTGCTACTTAACTTTTCTGTTTATTTGATTTCCTATTAGCTGATGTTCTTAAGTTATGTTATCTTAAGATATATATATTTTAATATATATATTAAATATATAATATTAAATTATAAAGATATATAATAAATTATAAGTAATATATATTAAATATACATTATTTAATACATATGTATGTACATTATATGATATATATTTCATTGGACTGGGCCCATAAAACATACACATATAGTTATTTTTTACTTAATGAGTTAATAAATAACTGAACAGATTATATGTATTAGCTATTCCCTTCAAAGGTATTGCTTTTACTCCACTCTTTTTAAGTAAAGGAAGAGTGTGCTGCATATCATTTCCTCTATGTGAAAGGGTAGAGAGATGATATAGCCTATGATTAGAGGGACTGATAAAAGAAAAAAGTTCCCTTCTCCTTTTTACTGTTTTTGCATTTTTATTACAAATATTATTGTTATGCTATTTTAAAGTTCATGACCTCCTAGGAGGTATGGCAGATAATTGGTTGAAGACTCTTTGATGATATACCTGCCTTGAGTTGTAACTTGCCGAACTGTCTTCTGTATTTAGAAAATTTTTATAGTAGGGATTTTAAGAATGTATCCTTTGAAGTGATTGAATGTATTTTTTAAATTTAAGCATGGCTTATAGCAAAATTATTATTTTTTTTAGCTATCTGAAGATGAAGATCAAATATCACAGCAAATTGAAAATTCAAATAGGATGCCCATCAAAACCAAAGAAACAGAAAATGTAGAAAGGATGGAAACAGAAAATGTAGAAAGGATGGAAAAACTTTCAGGTGATAGGATTGTTAAGAACAATGACAAAATTCATAAACAGAATGAAAATTTCCACCAGTTCTCAGTGAAATGTAATACAGATCAGTTTACACAGTCACAGTGCAATTCAGCACACATCTTGCAAAACAAAACCAATACTAACTGCATTCTGCAGGTTGCAAGACGTGATGTCGGGGTACAAACAGAGAGTGAATCTGTAGTGCGGGAAAAATTAGATGCTGCCATACAGTGTAATCTAATTTCAAAATGTACATGTAGAAGTGATGTTTCCCTTTGTAACCTTGAAAGGTGCAGTGAAAGTATTAAGGCAGATACCACTGGAGGGCAGGAAATCCTTAAGAACAAGCAGTATTCTAAAATCTCTACTTAGGACGTAGAACTTCACTTGCCCTTAAAAAACAATAGTAAATGTTGAAAATTTCCTTAACATGGTAAGAAATGAGAAAATATAGCTGAGCACAAGCTGACAGTGTTCAGAGAGTATATTCATGGTTCATGTATAAACATTTTAATATTATTAATGTATGTATTTAACTTTATATAGATATTTCATTAATAGCTTTGGTATATGGCAGAGTTTTTAGAAAATAATAGTAAATTTACTAGCATTCTTATGTATATTCAGTCTATTGTAATGATATGCTGTTATGGGTTAAAAATGTGCTTAATTGCTTTCTTCCTTGTTGCATTTATTTAAATATTCTTTGTAGTTGCATCTTCTGGCAAAAATGTTCTCTATCAAGATTTTAAGATAGAAAATAATACCTAATATATTTTATGTTCCCGTTATATAATTTTGTTAGCCATTTCTCTTTAATATTTTATTTGCATTTAATTCTAGCATTAATGTATAGATAATATACATATCTTCTCTTGCATGATGTAGTTGTTTTTGTTGGTGCTGGTATTGATTCAAAGGAAATGTCCTATAGGATTAAAAGATGTTTTAATGCTTTTATAAAAGAATTGTTTGAAATTGAAAAATAATGATTTATGTTACTAATTTTAATGATGCTAAGATTCTTTTCATAAATATAATAAGATTTCTTATCTAAAATATAGGCTTTGTTTCTAACACAACACTGATTTTGTATCAAGATTTAAATGTTTGTATTCTTTCAAGGTACACAGAAGAGGGCATTCCAATATCTAACTGAACCCCAAATCAAATTGTTAGAGGTTTCTGTGCATTTAAAGAAAACAATGGTTTCGTGTTACATTTTTATATACAGATATATCACTCAAGAGTGTGTTTTGCAGAGGTGATTTGAGGCCTAGCAATTTAGAAACACCAATTGCTAAAGTAGCAATCTTCAGATTTTTAGCTAGATTTAGGAAATTTTTTTTGCTGCCTGACAGAGTACAATAAGCTCCTAAGTATTTTCTTCCAGCTTAATTATCAATGCATGAAAGGGGAATATAATTATCTGATATACATATGCTGATAGTTTTTCAAAAGGCCAGATTTTTATCCTGATACTACATGAAAGGTACTCCATTGTGGATTGATTATCCTGAGCATTATTTTGAAAAATACTGCGTTCTATAGCAGTGAAGACTGATGTATAAAAAAAGAAGATCTATATGGATGACATTAGAATAAACTTGAGCTGTGAATCTTGGGTTGATTTCAAGTATCAAATCAACTGATTTTTTCCAAATATCTATCAAAGCCTAGCAATACTGAAAGTACATTAATTACAAAAGTTCACACCTAGTTCTGTTTATATCAATATCATAATTCTTCATCAGTAAGATGAAGAATTTCAGGGCTTTAAAAGATGCAGCGACCACTCACGGGGAGAGCAGAGGAAGGTGCAGTGCAGTAAAGCATTTAATCTTGCCCCAAAAGAGGTCTTGCCATTGCCCTTGGCTTCTGGGAGGTAACCTCGAAGCCCTTAGAATGTCATGGCTAATGAGTGTCTTTATTTGCCTGGGAAGCCTGGGCCAATTTAGATAGCAACAATATGATTTAGGATGGAGACACTGAGTAAAGCAGTACCAGCTTGCCTTCGTAAGGGGTCAGAAACTGAGATTGGATAATCAGCCACACCACTGTGATTGAGCCCCAGTAAAGACTTCGAATATCAAGGCTCAGGTGAACTTCCCTGGTTGGCAATACTTCATATGAATTATGACAGTCATTGCCAGCAAAGTAATACTGTCCATGACTCCATGAGAGAGGATGACTGAAAAGTTCCCATTTGCTACTTTCCTAGACTCTGTCCTATGTGTTCCTTCTCTTGGTTGATTTTAACTGGTTTCCTTTTCCTATAATAAACTGTAACTGTGAATATAATATACTTGAGTGTGTTCTCTGAGTCCTTCTAATGAATTACCAAATCTGAGGGTGGTCTTGGAACCCACAGACTTGCTGTTGGTATCAGAAGTAAAGGCAGTTGCTCAAGCCTGTAATCCCAGCACTTTGGGAGGCCAAGGCGGGTGGATCACGAGGTCAAGAGATCAAGGCCATCCTGGTCAACATGGTGAAACCCCGTCTCTACTAAAAATACAAGAAATTAGCTGGGCACGGTGGTGCGTGCCTGTAGTCCCAGCTACTCAGGAGGCTGAGGCAGGAGAATTGCCTGAACCCAGGAGGCAGAGGTTGCAGTGAGCCGAGATCACGCCATTGCACTCCAGCCTGGGTAACTAGAGCGAAACTCCATCTCAAAAAAAAAAAAAAAAAAAGAAGTAAAGGCAGTTGTATGGACGTATTCCTAACTTCACAATTGCTAATTCCTTAGATGCTTTAAGGAGATAAATATATTCCGGGTGGAAAGTGAGTATAGATTTGCACAATAAGCCATCTTATATAATTATAACATACTTCTGAAAATGCATTACTGGTTTGGACTTTGTCTTGGTGAAATCATTTGATGAAAATATAAATAAGCAATTGAAGTAGACATTGTTTTTCATTCCATGTTTGTTATATGTTTATAAAACAGAGTAAATTCTAGCTAAGTTATATCCAGATGAAACAAAATGAAAACTTAATGATTCTGCACACATTTCTAATGTAAACTGCCAATCAGAATGACTTCAGATAAGATAGTTTATATTCAGTAAAGGCTGATGCTATACAGTATTGTGCTGGAGTTGGTGTTTAACCATATTTGTAAAATAGTACATTGTTTTGGTCCACACCAACTCTAGAAAGTTTCCATCTGTAATAAGATGAGAGCGTATCTTTGGGGGTAGTTTCATGTAATTTACTTTTAAAGCATGTATAACAATTGTAATTTATTTATAATTTCTTGGTAAATGTTTATTTTCCTCTGTGACAATGTAGCAGTTAGCAAATGCTGTCTGTGCCCTGCTCACATTTCCTGGGCACCCCCCATTTTCATACATGCCGGTCCGACTTGCAGCTGCCAGTGCATGACTCATTTCCTAAAGGATTTCTTTTGGCTGCAGATACCTCTTCTGCCTTGGAGGAGGCAGATGGAAGTACCAAACTGTTAATGCTGTTTGAGCGCAGTTGTTTTAAACAATAACTGAATAGGAATTGGTGAATAAATACTTCTCCCTTGCCTCTTGGGCAGGATAAGTCCTTGAAAGTGTGTTCTACAACTCTGCTTTCTCAAAAGTATCCACTAACCAGTAACAGTAGCATCAGTACTGGTTAGGAACTGGTTAGAAATTAAAATTTGTGGAACCCACCCCCAAATTACTGAATCAGAGTCTCAGGCAGTATGTCCTGGAATCTGTAGAATGATGTCTGTGCTCTCTCATGTTGGAAAACCCTATTCCTGCTGAGTTCCTCAGAAGAAGTAACCTTAAGTTGCTCACAATGGTAACTTGCTTAATAACACACACTTTATTGCTTTCCTTCTTTTCCTGTCTGTCTCCTTTCCCACTTCCATGTGTTTCTTGATTTCATACCCCAAACAACTATAGGTATATGATTCCTTGCCTCATAGTTTGCCTAAGACAGGTAGAGATTGTGGCAAGTAGATGAATGAATTGGCTTCATAGGTATATCTAAAAGGTTAACCTTGGTAATTTTTGTAGTTTTTACCATTCTCTAGTTTCAGATTTCCATTTCTGCCATCTGAAAATTTAGTATGTGAGTGAAGTGGCATGTTAGGTACAAGTAAAGAGAGAATTTGTGAAGTGAAATATATATAGAAGGATAAATTATCAAGAATGCTGGAAGAGAAAATAAATAGAAAATATGAAAGAGTGGTTAAACAGTAAGAACAGAATGAGAAGCTTTATGTGTTTAATTGAAGTACCACAGTATAGGAGAGAGAGAATAGAGGCATAATTTGCAGAGATAATAGCTGAGAATTTTTCCAGAATTGATCTTTTATATAATCTACAGATTCAGGAAGACCAACAAATTCCAAGTGGGATTTAAAAAACTGAAATATATATTCTAGTCCCAACATAATAAAGTGACAGAGCCTCAAAGTCAAATGAAAAACAGAAAGCCACTGAAGAGAAAGACTACTTTCTTAGAAAAGACAGCAACAGTGTCAGATGACTCACTAATAATGATGGAAGCCAAACGGCAGTGTAATAATACCTTCCAAACGCTGATAGAAAATAATTGTCATTCCAAAATTGTGTTTCCAGCCCTAGTTTTGAAATTACAAAAGTAGCCACTACTAGCATGAAGGATCTACTTCTGTAGGATTTGGTGACTTATATTTAGGGTCTTTATCTTATATACAGATAAGCACTTTCTCTTTCACTGTAGGAAAGGTTTTTCCTGATTGTATCTCTGTTTGCTCTTCACCCCATATGTTCAACCATTTTCTTATTTCTTATATGTCTTTAGGCCTTTATAGAGACTTCATAGCACTTGAAATGGCTTTAGCCACAGGCATTTGTTTTATTTTTGCAGTGCTGTCTGTTGGTCTACACTGTGTATCCCTTTATGCCTGTTGCTCAGGAGATACCATGTGTTTTCTCATTTCTTTCAAAAGGCTTTATTTCAAGCTTCTCTTTAATACTTAATTCTTCTCATGCACTGCTTGAAATTTTAAAATCAGGACACATAGGCATATTTAGGAAGTTGAGTGACTGTATATTTTATATGTGTATAATATATATCATAAGTTATATATAATATAATTGATATCTATAAATGTCTACAATGTGGAAGAATGGCAAGACAGAAACTTATGAGATAATACACACAGTGAATTGAGGTAGCTGGTAGGTGTCTTTGAGGGGTGTGTGCCTATTCATTTTGTGTATTATGTGGTTGAGTTCTGATGGGCACAGGTTTGTGTGTTCACCTGGTATTTCTTATGGGCACAACTGCACATCAGCCAGTGTGATACTTGCATTATGCTCAAATTGTTTCCAAATTTATCAGTCATGTGGAAACAAATTTGCCTTTTCAAAACAACTTGGACCAGCAAAACTATTTTCCCAGTCTGTATTATCTTTTAATTTTCTTTTTCTTTTTTGATTTCCTTTTTTAAAAATTATTTACTATACCTTAAGTTCTGGGATACAGGTGCAGAATGAGCAGGTTTGTTACATAGGTATACATGTGCCAGGTGGTTTGCTGTACCCACCAACCCAAAATCTACATTAGGTATTTCTCCTAATGCTCTCCTTTCCTTATTCCCTCAGTCCCTGACAGGCCCTGATGTGTGATGTTCCCCTCCCCTGTGTCCATGTGTTCTCGTTGTTCAACTCCCACTTATGAGTGAGAATATGGAGTGTTTGGTTCTCAGTTCCTGTGTCAGTTTGCTGAGAATGATGGTTTCCAGCTTCATCCATATCCCTGCAAAGGACATGAACTCATCCTTTTTTATGGTTGCATAGTATTTCATGGTATATATGTGTCACATTTTCTTTATCCAGTTTATCATTGATGGACATTTAGGTTGGTTACAAATATTTGCTATTGTGAATAGTGCTGCAATAAATATACATGTGTGTATGTCTTTATAGTAGAATGATTTACAATCCTTTGGGTATATTCCCAGAAAGGAGATTGCTGGGTCAAATGGTATTTCAGGTTCTCGATCCTTCAGGGAT